TTTTATCTTTAGAATTCTACTATTTAGGTCACTATCTGTTGCTTCCAGCTATTCTTTCCTGACAAACTGTAGCTCTTTTTAGGCTTAAAAAGATATAATCAATGAATTCATATATGTTATTCCTCCGGGTATGAAGGTCTAGATGTAATAAGTGGTACACATAGCGTAAGATCACACTGCTATTCCTGAACTGCAGCTCCAAGATTAATTGTGCCTCATAGGCCAAAATTTGAAGAGCTGCATTTGAAAATCTGATACAACTAACACAATAAAAGCTCAGTATTACTAAATTTCTCCAGTGCTTTAAACACGATCCCTCACCAGCGTGAACTGGAAGGGTGTGAATGTATGTGTGTATATTCCACGACAAACCATTTTAGATAGAGAGGAGAATAATGACGAATGTGTCCTTTACATTATCATACCTGCCTTTCCCAGAAGAAAAAAAAAAATCCACCGCAGGTTTTACTTGTGAAGGATAATCCTTGGGTTTTAGCAAGTAACCTCACTCATCGTGAAATGCATCAGTGTCTGTGGAATAACGATTATTCTCGGGAACGGGGACATACAGGAATTCCATTCGCGTTTAAACTTCAGCTGGTTGCTCTGCTCATGTGAAAAATCACTATGCCCTGAATGAAACGAAGATGAGTGCTTAAGCAAACAGTCATAAATTAATTTATAATGAAACATGACAGTCATGATTTAATTTAGAATGTATTTAAGATTGTTGTTACTATTTGTATAGGTCTTTTTTGCCTGGAGGAAAATGTGGCTTCATAGTGAAATGCCAGCTATTGAAATACCAAACTTCTTACGTGTACATGTGTGTTAATTAATTAAAATGATGTAGATACTTTGCTAATGGAGACCTGTTGTCTGCTGCAAGCAGTCAGACAAAAGACCGCGTGACTGAGGCACGCGCAGTATCGGTGGGTCACCAAGAACTTAGCAGGAAGCACGAGGGGGGCAGAACACGGCCTGTAGAATCTGCGGGGTCGTGAGGCTGCCACACAGGTTCCTTCCTCAGAGCGAGGAGAGGGAGCGTAACACGAGAGACAGCGGTGGCGGCTGCAGCTTTTGCACTTCTCATCGGCTCCGGGCAGCTGCTGGCTGCCCTCGCACAGCAGAGCGGCTGCGTAGGCCCAAAACCGCCTCCCCGGGACGCGGGTCTGGCCGACGGCTGCTTTTGCTGCCACAGGCCGGACACACGTGAAGCGCCGTTC